GGCGGGGCTCGGCGGGGCAGCGCGGTGCGGGGCGCAGCCTCGGCGGCCGCGCCGGAGCCGTGTCCGGGCTGGCAGCGAGGCCGCGGTGAAGCAACTGCCTTTGAACTTCGGCCAATATTTAATGAGTCGGGAGGCGGATGAGATGGGGGATAAAATATTCGTGGTCTCGCTAAAGACGGGGACGCGGAGTATTGGAAAGATGAAAAACTGTACAGCTCGCAGAAAGGGTGCAGAAAACAGCCATCTTGAATATTTTAATCTCTGGCAAGTGTTTCTTTGGAACAAAATGGATGTTGGAGGGAAACAGCATAGTTAACATTACTGTAGCCTTCCATTTCTAACACCATCCCTCTCGCAGAATTCAGCTGGCACGGAACAGGGAGACTGGAAGGAACGCCACAGCCTTTCATCTACCTACAACGGCAATAAATAATCATAATCTGAATACTGTGGTCTGGAAATTTAGTACCTCTCTAAGTGATGGTGCTTTTTTTTTACCCACGATTTATATCGATTTGTTTTCATCGACATAAGTCACATGTAATGCTGCAAAAACACTCTCAGAGCTCATGCAACATAAAGAAACAATTGCTCTGTGTTCAGCCAGAACACATCGGTAAAGATTTTTTATTTTTTATGGTATTGTACATTGTTACCATCACCAAAATCAAAGGAGGTATTCCTACAAATTACCCTGGAAATTGAATCAAGGCCCGGGTTCAGAGTTTGTTGTGTATTCATGATATGAACCAATTATTTTAAGGATTCATTGTTTGGCCATAAAAATCACTCTAGGCTGAAATTAGGCTTAAGAAGTCCCCAGGATTTTTCCCACTTCTGCTAAAATGGGTTAACAGCTGTCTTTATTTTTTCTTTCTTTTTCCCCCACCTTAAACTGATGGTGAAAACAAATACAACACGCTGATTTCAGATGCTTTTTGTTTTCATATAACAAATAGCTTTTCCATGGCTTTTTTTTTTGGTGTTTTTTTCTCTTTTTCCCCCTAAGGATTGCAAGACTGTTAATATGGTAGGCCTCCACAAATTTTAAAATTTTTGTTGGTTTTGGTTTTCTGGGTTTTTGGGATTTTTTTTTGTTTTTTTCTTTACAGAGGAACAACCGGCTGAAGTGGGGGGTGTGGTGAGAGCAGAGACAATAAGTCAGTGGTTCAGCTACACAGGCTCAGAAAGGCTTCTTCCCCGGCATTATTTATTTATTTCTTTTCTCGTTGCTGTTTGCTTACTTTGGACCTACTCCTTCAAAGATAAGCACAGCAGAAACAATGCACTTAAAAAAACCCCAGAAAACCCCAAAGACAGCTAAAAAAATATAATGCAGGAATGGCTGGAGACCATTGTCTGAAGATTAAAGAATAGGATTTTGAGACAGAACTGCTTGATTTTATTCACTTACTGGTTTCTATAAAGTAAATTTGGGCAGCAGTTCTAATCCTAATTGCTAAGAATAATGTTCCCATAGAGAACTGTGCTGTTCTTATTCAAGTTTTTCATTTTTCCAGGAAATTCTGAGATACTGCATATGCAGTTCCTGTTTGTTTCAGCATCTTGGTACAGCTTACTTTATGTATTTGAACATTTTTGCTTTAATTTCTGTTCCATACTCTCCCCTATGGATTGATATATAAAATATATCTGGCACCTCTTTCCTACACATCCTGATGTTGGTACAGCATTTCTTGAGACTATTTGAATCAAAGGCACTATGAAGCCAAGCAGCTTCCTAGTTGTTTTTTTATAATTGTAGCACACAGGAATCTCCAAAGAATAGCATTTGTGAAAAGCAGAGTGAGCAAAATTACTAAAATGCAAATCACAAGCTCCATCAAAGGCTAAAATTACAAACTTGTGCTTGTAAGAAAAAAAAAAGCATAGTCTAGAAACAATAACCTAGAAAAACAGGCACTGACTTTTTAATGGGCAAGACTTTTTTTGAAAATGAAAGTGACACTAAGATCAAATTTTTAATATTATCTAAGAAACACGAAGATTACAACCAGATTGAGTAGTACTGGGGGCTGCTGTAGGGCCCAGAGAGGAAAGCTGTGTCACATTTGCTGAAAGCTTAAGGAACTGCATTTAAATGTCATGGAAATCCGATTTATGTGTGAAAGGTATGTAGGGTTCCAGGGAGGAAACAGGGTGTGAAGAAGGGCCGAGGAGATTTAACACTGTAATTTGTCCCACAGATATGAAGGACAAAGAAATTTTGTAGAAATAAATAGAAGAAATAAATTTATTTATAAATTATAAATTAATAAAACATAAATTACTTTAAAAACTATTATGATTACTCAAGATATATGTTTTGCCACAAAGACATGCATTCACAAGAAATGCCAGTATAATGTTTTTCCTGTAAAGAATATGACTTTGACTCATGAAGTTCATTTGCCCTAATGTACGTAAAACATTGTTACATAAGATAGGCTTGGATTATTTTTCCTGTTAAGTATTATGTTCCTTTGTCATCATCATAGCTTTGCTGGCAAAACCTGAGAGCTAAATTGCACCTTTATAGTTAAACAGACAGGGAAAGGTGTGGGAATATTTCTATCTACACCTTCCAGAAGAGCAATGAGTATCTGGGAATTTCCAGTAACTGAGGCCAAGGGACTGGTGATTTTATATTTTATTCCAAATGGACAGGATATTCTGGTTATTTTATTTTCTCGTTGTGTCATTGGCATATCAGGCTCTGCAAGCAACTGTTAAGTGCTTGCTAGAGTAGTGCATATATTGATAAGGAATAATTGGTTTAACAAGCTGAGAGGTGTTTGTAAATATTCTGCTTAAATGTTGGTGTTGCTAAATCCCTTATACTGTTTAAAACAAGATTGTAAAGCAGTGAAGTAAAATGGCAGGATTAGAGTGTTAATTTTGGTCTGCTTTTCACTTCACAGATTCCCTGCAAACGTTTCTGGTTTTGTAAGACAGATGTGCTCTTCAGATCATGTCTCTAAATATTCCCTCTTCTATGGTTCAATTGCAAATAGGCAATGATAAGTGGTTACTACTCAAAATTAAGATCTTCAGTTTAACACGAGGACATACTTTATCTGATTTTTTTTTCTTGGGTGACATAAATATTCTGAAACTCAAAAATTAGCCTTGCAGATGCCCTCCATAATTTGCTTAGCCTGGGCAGAGTGAAGGATGCAGAAATGCCTGTGCCATGGCACACGCTGCGCTCGGCGCTCCTGGGCCTCAAGGGGAGCCAGCCCTGAAGGGCTTCCAGTATAAATGAGAGATAAAACTTGTCATTAATGATGTGCAAAGTTTTCGGTTTAGACAAATATTTGCAAAAATGTTTTGTTCATTTTCCCTTAATATTTAGCAATGGGTTTTGGGTTTGACTGGATCTAACTTAAAATGAAAAAAAAAAGGAAGCACTTTTCCTCTTTCTCTTTCCTTTGGGCAGCACAGGTCTGGACAAACTGAAGATGGAGTTTCCCCACAGCTGGTGGGGCCGTGGCTGTCCTTGACTTGTGAATAGTTTATTCCCAGCCTGTAACTTGTTCTATTCTGTCATGTTGTCCAGATCTTGAAAAACAAGGCTGTTCTGTATGCCCAACCTAACTATTCCCTTTTTTTTCAGTCCTAAAATCCAGCGCTTGCTTTTACTGCTGTCACATACTTTTAAAATCCCAGATATGCTGGCTGCAAAGGTAATAATTAGGAGTTTATTGTGGAAGCAAGATAAGATTATCTGTAGTAAAGATTTATTATTAGAAAATGAATAGCCTCATTTTCAAGATTTAAGAGACTTGTACAAATTACCATTGCTGGATGGTTTTTTAGTTTCCAGTTCACATTAGTACTGACAGAACTGTTTGGGGCCTATTACCCAGCTTTTGGAAAGTATTCTTGTGGTGGAAAAATTTGTAAGGGATTTGGAAATGAGGACTCATCTGGCTAGTAGATGTTCATAAAAATCTTAATGACTCCAGCAGCCTGAGGCTGTTGAGTCTGGGCTGGGCTTGGCTGGAAACTGTGGGGCTTACTGGAGGATCCCCTCCCTACATGTGTGGTGGTGATAAGGGAAGAGCTGAAAAAAGGCTTTGAAATCTTTGAGTATATCCGTGGCTGGACTGACACCATCTATTTTAAAAATGATTCTGTATTATAAATCACAGTAAAAAAGATAGTAGCTCTAATGCATAGGACAGTTTGGAAACTTGTGCATAAAACTATTCAGGTTTTCTTGCAAAGGCACTTCGCTGTTTTATACATGCCATTTTCTTGCTTTACTTTGCAGCTTTATGTAAAGAGTATATTCCTCTGAATGGAAAGTGTTTTCAATTTAGTTTGTGTTGCTTTGGAGGGCTTTTTAAGCTAAAATCACAATGTATTTGACTTAAATGGTGACACTGTTATATATGGAAAATCTGCTTTCCAACATTTCCAGAGGCTTTTACATACTTCAGTAATTTTACTGTTACACAGACATCTGTGTGCTTTTAGCTCAAAAGCAATGCTGTTGATCTTAGGGGCAACTTGACATTGGTGTTAATATGCAAGGGAGAAATCTACTTTATGGTCAGTTTGGCAGCTGGCTTGAAAAGTGGAATGATACAAACCCTGTATTGGTTCATTAGAAAGAAAAATAACCCCTTGACATTCACTTCTAGGCTGGTCTGTGTGTACTGAGCCCATGATACAGATGGGCCAGTTGATGCTATTTACAGCTGGGGGTTGTCCTGAAATCCATGCTAAACTTTCACTGAACATATTTAAATCTGTTTCTCTGTGAGAAAATGTAGGGGATGTTGTCTTGTTCCCACAAGGCTGAATAGGATGGCCCTCAAGGTGAGGAATACTCTGGTGCTGCTGCTAAGAGAAAAAAAGGTGTATTTTAGAAAAACTCAGCAGATGCTCATTCTCCCCAGGAACAGTTCTCCTGTCTCTCAGCCATGGGGCTGCAGCGCCCTGCAGCAGTCTGCTGCCCTGCCAACCTCTGGGACATTCCTCTGGTAGCAGACTAAAATCCCAGCTGATCCCAGCTCGGGCTGTGTAGTGTCCTGGGAACTGCAAGGTGAGTTGCTGCAGCACTATGGCATCAATGAGGCCACCAAAGCAAGACATTTATTGTTACCCCTACCTTCTGGGAGGTACAGGGCTGAGGAACATCACCAAATAAGATGTTTTTCTTTAACTGTTACTGGTTATATATTAAATCTCTCTCTGTCTCTGACTTTGCTAGGATTCCTCTTGGCAGACATGCAGATTTGCCTGTGACATTACTAACCTGCAGAGGAACAGCAGATTTTTGCAACAACACAATCCGCTTATTACAGTGGTCATTGTCATCCATAAGAGATTTTTTCCCCCAATTTGGTGTTTGGGAGACACTGCTGATGTAGTTAGTGATTCAAACTGTTCTTCTCAGCCTTTCTGGACTAGGGATTTAGGTGTTGTCTGCAGGAGACAGCTGGGAATGTGGAGGCTGCTGTGGTCCTCACAGAGACCCCAGAGCATTTGCTGAAGCTCCAGCCCCACCAGACTAGGCAGTCATGGCTTTCAGAGGCAAAAGCTGTCCTGCCCTGGCCCTCAATGCCCCTCACCGAGGAGCCCAAAGAAGAAAGAAACAAACTTGTTTGCTTTTGTGGTGCTGGTGCAGTTGGCAATAGCTTTAGAATGTCCACATGTGGGCATATAGAAACAAACCATCCTCTCCTCTCCTCTCCTCTCCTCTCCTCTCCTCTCCGATTCAGTCTCCTTTCTCTGCTCTGTGTTTGGAGCAGTTTTTCTGGTGTGGGTCAGGTGCTGCAAGCATCCATCCATCCATCCATCCATCCATCCATCCATCCATCCATCCATCCATCCATCCGTCCATCCATCCTTGCTGCTCCTTCAGCTGCCCTCACTACTGGTTTAGCTCCTCCGGAGCAGCAGTTCCTGTCAGGCAGCAACACGAGTGCTGTCTGCACAAGATGAATTTTCTCACTCATGTTTTCTCTCCTTCTCTCTCCGTTTCCCCTTGGTCTTTCTGCCGGATTTTTTTTTCTTCTGAGAACCCTCACCCCCTTTGGTCGCTTTCCCATCTCCCCCTGCCCCCTTTTCCTTTCTTTCTTTCATTTTTCTCATTTCTTGTATTCTCCCTTCACTTATTTTTCTCTCTAT